TAACTATATTTAAAAACTTAGGCTAGGGGGAGACTAGTAGTATATATAAGTAAAGTCCGAGCTCTAATACTAGTACTAGCCTATTATAGTAAATAGAAGCTATCTAGTAGCTTTAGCTATTTTCGAATCTACTCTAAATAGCCTAGTATACTCCTATCTACTAGTATCTTTAGAAGCTTATTATCCTCTTTAATAGTATTATATAGTTATTTTTAAGGTTATTTTCCTTTTACCTATCTACGTTACTTAGTACTATTATTATCTAAGTTATTATTACTACTCTTAGTATATTAAGTAACCTTAAGTCTAGTCTCCTAATCCTCTTTCTTATTATTACTAATAAGCTCTAAGACCTTAAACTATAGTAATAATCTCTAGGTTTAATCTAATAAAGTAGCTTTACCTTAGGATAGATACTCTTTAATAATCCCTAGCTTCTCTTACTAAAGATTAAAGTTAGTAGTAAACTAATATAGTATTAGGCTATAGATTATACTTAGCTTTAATTAACTATAATAGTAATAATAGATATTATAAGTATAATTAAATAGTTATTTAATACTAGTACTACTAGTAGGGATAGATAGAATATCCCTTACTAGCCTTACTAGGGTTAGGAAGCTTTACTTATATTCCTTTTAGAAAAGTCGAGGTTTCTATTACTTAATTCTATAAGTAAGATATTATATAATCTTATTATTATCTAGTTTTATAAACTCTTTTAATAGCTAGTTTTAGGATATATAAGTAATATTAAGATTATAGTTATTATTCTTATTAATAGCTACTTTAAAAGTCTCTAGTACTACTAGGTTATTAGTATTATAGGTAAGTATCTTTCTATATTAATTAAAATCTTAGTTTAGGACCTTTTAATAACGATTTATATAATTAATATCGCTTTATTAATTAGTTAAGGAAAAGTACTAGAGCTTCTTTAATAGAGAGAAGATTATTACTAAAGCGTAGATATTACTATAAGGCTTATATTCGGTAGTAGTATAGTACTTAGAGAGCTTTTTCTTTACTATTTAGAGTACCTATAATATCGGTTTCTTTTAGATTATACTTTTATTCTTAAGCTTCGCTTTAGCTATATTAAGATAGGAGAAAAGCTTATTATAGATACTATAGATATTATATATAGTAATATCCTTAGTCTTCGATAGTATTATTATAAAATTAAAGAAGGGCTTTATTAGAAGAAGAAGATATTTAACTTAACGCTACTCTTCTTAATTAAATTTAAAGTAAAGATATTAATAATTAGTATAATACTAATTATAGAATAGCTAGAGCTTCTTAGCCTAATTAAGTATTAGAAATATTAAATTCTATTATATCTAAATATCTTAGATTAGAATTAATATAGGCTCCGGCTAAAAGCCTATAAATACCTCCTAATATTATAGGCTTATATTAATAAAGACTACTAGTCCTTAGATCTTCTATACTTTTATTAGTCTAGCTATTATAAGGATCTAAGGGTAGAGGATATACCTTTTTTAATATATCTATAATCTAGATACTACTAAAGGTATTATACTTATTCTAGAAGGAGTAGGTTTTTTTATTAGACTACTCTAACTTAATCTCTTTATTACTTAGTACTACCTTAAGCTTCCAAAGAAGCTTATTAAGACTTAGTTAGATTATATACGCGATATATAGGACACAGAAGATTAAGAGATTTAATAAATATTAAGACTAAAGGTTCTCTTAGATACTATATATTAAAGTATTATTATTAGTTATATTATCTATAGTTACTAATAGGATATAATCTAAGATACTATATTCTATTAGGATCTAGGTTACAGTTTTACTAAGATTTTTACTAATATAGGAGCTATAGAGAGGCTTAAAGCTTAGAAGAACCTTATAGTAATCTTAGTTATAATTAATAAAGTAATTAGTAATAGCTATAAAGGCTTACTAGAAAGGAGAAGTCTAGTAATCTAAGGCTATTAATAACTAGTACCCCTCTAAAAGTCTTTATAGAATCCCTTTCTAGTTATTCTAGACTATAATATTAAGATAATATTAAATAGTTTATATTAATAGAATTATAAGTTTAGTAGAGGATTTCTAAGTAACCTCTAATATATAGTAGAATTAGGGGTATTTAATCACTTAAAAGGGTAGATATATAGTTAAAATAAATCTTAGAATAATATTAGAGAGATAGTCTTAAGTAAATAATATACTAGTAGTACTTAGCTAGATTATAGTACTTAATATTAGCTACTAAATTATAAAGAACTTAACTACTATAGTAATACTAGTTAAGTACCCTAGTTAATATACTATTCTTTTAATAAGCTAGTTAATTCTTAGGCCACTCTTTTTTAAATATACTCTAGTTTTAAGGTACGCTATTATAAGCGAAGAACTAGTATACTAGAATCTTAGATAGCTAATTATATAGAGGTATACCTTATATATAACTAGACTGTGATATCGCCCATAGACGGGCGGGTGGGCATAGCCTATGGGCCTTATGTAAGCGGGAAATGGGCCCTATGGATAGGCCCATGGACGGGCCCTACCCTTAGGGCCCACAGGCCGTGGGCGTCATGGGCGCCCATGGGCCTTTTTAGTAAGTAAAATTAGCGTAACATGTGATCTTTTTTGATGAATTTCAAAATATTTCAACTAAATTCATATTTTTAATATACTTATAATCATAATTCCGGATTTCTAATAAGATATATATAAATGTATATAGTGTAATTTACTATATATCTAATTTTTATATATATTCAAGACAACTTTATAATATGGTGGGCATAGTGGGCATGCCCGCGATAGGCATGCCTATGGGCCGTGGGCGTTATGGACGGGCACTCAAAAATCCAAATAGCCTACCGCCCACCGTGGATAGGCGATGGGTACCTCCTAGGTGCCCATAGATGGGCGATGTCGCAGTCTATATATAACCTTTAGCTTTCTATTTTTATTATTCGTGACCTAGTAGAAGCTATCCTAGATATCTGATTTACTTTTTAATTCCTATCGAATTATATTCTTTATATTAGACTAAGATCTATACTTAGTTATAAGCTACTAACTAATAAATTTATTATATAGGTCCTCTATATTATTATATATAGAATTAGATAGATATAAAACCTAGTACTTTTAAAAGGGAGGTCTAACACAAGTAAGGGATAAGGGTATAATAGTTAAATAAGTTAAATAAGTTAAATAAGTTAAATAAGTTAGCGATATCGATAGGACTAGTATTTAGATACCTAAAAAATTAGAGAAGTTATTAGGATAAATCTAATTAGAAGCTAGATCTATATCTAAATCAGTAAATAAGAACTGTAATTAAGATATTAAAAAGTTAATAATTATAATATATAATATAGTAGGGTACTTAAAAGAATAGAGAGGCTTATATTTAAACTAGTAGAGGTTTTTAGGGGTAAAGTAAATATACTAGGATATTCTAACTTAGACTTACTTTTAATATAGTTTACCTAAATAATTAGCTATATTATATATTAGTATAGATCTTAAAGATATCTTATAGATCTTAAGGATATCTTATAGATATTTTATAGATATCTATAAGATATCCGTAAGACCTCGAAACTTATAAAGTCTATATTTTGAGAACTTCTATCTCGGATTTCTTAAGTTCTAGTAGTCTGAACGAATTAAAAAAATAATTAGTAGATAGCTACGACTTTTAGCTTTTATTTAAGCCTAAAATTAAAAGAATTTATCTAATAATAACCGTTTTAATTTTCTATATTCTATTTCCTACGAAGTTTATTATAATTAATAGTAGGTAAATATATATTTCTATATATAACTTACTATAAAATCGTTAATCTACGGCTACCTTTATAATATAATATCGGACTAAGAAAACTATAAGACTACCTATAAATACTATATAAGGAGACCTTCGATACATATCTATTTCCTAAAATTTTAAAGTACTAACCGTCGATTCAAGGAGTTAGTTCTATTATAACTAAACATGCGTTTATTTCAGTAGTAAGGAAATATTGGTAAGCTACATTAAGATCATATAATAGGCTATAAGGGGGAAAGTAAGCCAGAGTTATGCTAGTGCGGATATAGATATGAACTCATATCCGCAGTGCGGATGTGGATATCAACTCATATCCAATATCCGCAAATTGCGGATATAAGGATCGATCTGATATCCATTGGAGCGGATATGCCGCAGTCTACACTAGAAGGTATTCTACCCGCCCTAGGAGGCAATTAACTATAGGTTCAAAGGACATGAAGAATGATAATTATACATAACTCTTCTTTCAATATACTGACGTATTTCAAATGGGGAGCCTTTTTTAGGTAGAAATTTAACTAAGGGCTGACTGATGGGTGGTGGAGAAGGGTCTAGAAACGCTGATAGCTATAGAGACTGAAAGGGAGATAAAAATAGCATTTGAGAATTATTAGCAATAGTACTCTATATGAACCTTTTTAGGTCATGCTCTTCCCATAGTCTACATCCCCCTGTGCAAAATAATATCTCAAGGTAGCCTCCAGCCGTATCTTTGCGACATGCCGCAATTATCTTGGCAGATCTTCGGTTAAGAATAATACGTGAGCATTAGAACACCAACGGGCCGAGACGCCCTTATGACAAGGAGATACATGTGCTGGCAGGTGCGTTCAGGGATTTGATGCCCCACTCCAGAGCTAGGAACGTCATCATTGGCTAGGGGTACCCCTAGGTATGTGTCCCAGTGATGATTGATTTCATTGGATCATCAGCTTACTATAGCAGCGGGTCTCAACAGTGGCTTTTATTGGATGTCAGTATAGCAGCGCTCTGGGGACGCTAGACAGTGACCCAACGGTGAGCTAGTCTGGAGGGTCACCATAAAGGCCATATTGGCTTATTGAGTTGAAATAGACACCCTGAACCCCTCCCCCCAGGGCAGATCTCTTGCGTTGCCGTTAAGACACACTTCTTTGAAGGAGAAAATGGAAATTTGAACTCTCTACACCTACATACAAAAGCCGATAAAGGAAACTTGCCCCGACGCGTGTCCCAGGGCAACAATATTACCGTGGACTTTGAAACAACTGGGCCGACATTCGACAGGAAGCCAGAGAACATTTTCACCATTCACTGTTATCCACTTCTCATGCTCGATGGAGATACCTAGATTCACCTGAGGCGCATGAAGAGTGTGAATGAGACGCCCGGAATTAATATCCAGGGTGCAGTAGTCCGTGGTGAGATACAAGCCGTCGGGTGAGAAGGCCACCGACCGAACCCAACTTGAAAAGCCTTCGAGGGTATGCATGAGCCCGCCTGTCGCCGGGTCCCAGATGCGGACTGTCTTATCACCAGAGGAGGTGGCTAGGAGACGGCCGTCCGGTGAGAAAGCCACCGACTGAACCCAACCCGAATGGCCATTGAGGGTCTGTATAAGCGCGCCGGCCGCCGAGTCCCAGAGGCGTATTGTCTTATCATTGGAGCCGGACGCCAGGAGACAACCGTCGGGCGAGAAGGCCACCGACCGAACCCACTCCGAATGGCCATTGAGGGTCTGTATAAGCGCGCCGGTCGCCGAGTCCCAGAGGCATACTATCTCATCATTAGAGCCGGACGCTAGGAGATGGCCGTCGGGCGAGAAGGCTACCGACCGAACCCAACCCGAATGGCCTCGGAGGGTCTGTATAAGCGCGCCGGTCTCCGGGTCCCAGAGGCGTACTGTATTATCATCGGAACCGGACGCCAGGAGACGGCCGTCGGGCGAGAAGGCTACCGACCGAACCCAGCCTGAATGGCCTCCCAGGGTCTGCAAGAGCGCACCAGTTGCTGGGTCCCAGAGGCATACTGTCATATCACCAGAGCCGGACGCTAGCAGACGACCGTCCGGCGAGAACGCCACCGACCAAACAAAATCTGAATGGCCTTCTTGGGTCTGTATGACTACGCCTGTCGCCGGGTCCCAGAGGCGTACTGTGTCGTCATCGGAACCGGACGCCAAGAGACGACTGTCGGGCGAGAAGGCCACCGACCGAACCCAGCCTGAATGGCCTCCCAGGGTCTGCAAGAGCGCACCAGTTGCTGGGTCCCAGAGGCATATTATCATATCACTAGAGCCGGACGCTAGCAGACGACCGTCCGGCGAAAACGCTACCGACTGAACCGAACCTAAACTTTCTTCAAGGGTCTGTATGATTACACCCGTTACCGGGTCCCAGAGGCGCATAGTCTTATCATTAGAGCCGGACACTAGTAGACGGCTGTTAGGCGAGAAGGCCACCGACTGAATCGAACCTAAATGGGCCCCGAGGGTCTGTATAAGTGCGCCTATCGCCGGGTCCCAGAGGCGTACTGTCTTATCATCGGAACCGGACGCTAGGAGACGGCCGTCGGGCGAGAAGGCCACCGACCGAACCCAACCCGAATGGCCTCGGAGGGTCTGCGTGAGCGCACCCGTTACTGGGTCCCAGAGGCATACCGTCATATCACCAGAGCCGGACGCTAGCAGACAACCGTCCGGCGAGAACGCCACCGAACAAAGAAAACCTAAGTGGCCTTTGTAGGTCTGAATTTCAAGGGTCTGCATAAGCGCGCCTGTTGCCGCGTCCCAGAGGCGCACTGTCCCATCACTAGAGGCGGACGCCAGGAGGCGGCCGTTAGGTGAGAAGGCCACCGACTGAACTGAACTTGAATGGCCTTTGAGAGTCTGCATGAGCACGCCAGTCGCCGAGTCCCAGAGGCACACTGTCTCGTCATTGGAGCCGGACGCCAGGAGACGGCCGTTGGGCGAGAAGGCCACCGACTGAACTGAGCTTGAATGGTCTTCGAGAGTCTGTAATTGTGCGCCCCATCCTTCCTCAACTTGTGGTAATTGGCATATCCAAGCAGGAAGCTCATGTTCGAACACTCTGCGGATTATTGCCGTTCGTGGTGCAAATATAAGCCCCGCACAATAAACTTGAAGGGGCGCTTGATCAACTATCTGGAGATTTTTCAAAATAAAGCGCTTTGCGCCGTGAAGAAAATCCAAAGTTATGGAAGAACAGTCCTAAAGCCGTTAGTGTAAATCAGATATGGCTATCTTTGAAACTTACCGATACGGCCATTACCAAGCGATCAAGAATCCCTAGTATTTCCGACATAAGGCCTAGTAGGCTCATTGCTTCTACCCAGTGCAAGAAATGAGTGTGGAGAAATAGGACAGTATCATGAATCACATTGGTGAAGCTTCTGCACTGCACTAAATGATGCACCCAATATCGACAAGCGTATTTGAGTTCGGGAGGTATATATTCCTGAATCGAATCCTTGCTAATTTCATTGCATTGTGTGCCTTCGTTCGGCAGATTGCAGAGATTTCTCCTTAGGCTGCCCTGCATAATCTGAAGGCACTGTGCGGTAAGACGCCGATTTGCATATTTCTCATCGATCCAGAATTTGCTTATTTCTTTGCGGTGATCTAAGAGAAAATCTCGGAATGATAGGTGGAGGAGCCTCACGGGTGTGTCATAATCATTCGGTACACTGAGCACCGAGTGGAGATGGTCTAATCGGTATTTGATATCGTCTGGTTCTCTACCCACAAGATGGCTAAGAGACTTGATTGAGAGCGGAGTGGCAAGAATAATGATCGACCCAACGATGTCCTTGAACTCTTCGAGTAATTGCTGCGACTCCGTTTCATCCTGGCCAGTGAGAAGTTGCTTTAGCACAGGAATATACGTGCTATCCATCTTAGACACGTAGGTCAATTGGTCTGTCAATATCGCGGCAAGTCGCTTTTGAGGGTTCCACTTCGCGTCACCGATAAAGCGACATAAGGTGGCAGCAGCAATGAATAAAGGGCAGGCCCTATCAACTAACTTCTTGGTAGCTGCGTGCCCGGGCCAGTCAGGTGGAAATGAGCGGCTCTGTCTGAGGCGCAGTAATTGATCCTCAAAATATAAGGATAAATCATGCTCTATCACCGGATTTTCAATCTCATGAAGAATCAAATCCTGATAGGCATTAGCAATGCCTTCAAAACCCAGCCTAATCGGCAACTCAGGTCTGCTGGTCAACAAAAATCGAAGTCTTATGGAAGTTGACTTTTGAACTTGTGGCAAGAGCCGGAGAATAACCCGTATATCGTCTTCCAGATCGCATTCATCCAAAGCATCGATCACAATCACTCTAATTGTAGTATCTTCGCGCTGGTTCATTCCGAACAACGGTACTAGCAGAAGCTTTTCAAATTGTTCCCTTAGCACCTTTTCTGAAATATTAGGGTCGTCATCAATTGCTTTTTGAACGTGGGGCAAAATTTGAGGTAGGTTGATGACTAGCTGCTCGATTAATGTTGAAAAAAGCTTCTTTGCTGTTCCTCGGTCCTCTTCGCCTCTCTTGAAGAAAAAGCTCGCCCCGAGAAGCTGCTGCTCTTTAAGACGGCTTGCAATTGTTTGGGATATTGTAGATTTCCCTGTCCCTGCCATGCCATTTAACCAGAATATGCATTTTCCGTGCGGCAGCTTGGCCCACTCGTCGATCTCTCGAAGCAGGTCAATTCTTGTCCCCGGGAGACATTCGCTATGTTGATTGTCATAAGAGTTAAATGCTGCTCCTTTTGCAGTCTTTAGCCTGCTTAGGTCTATCCTCGCGTGGATCGAACTGGTTGACCTCCTGCTTTTCGCGTCAGAGTTGGCGTTTGATATATTAATCAGGAGATCGGATTATAATCCCAAGGCGTACGTTTGATCGACTTGTAAGGACAAAGCAAAAGTTGTTTTGTACCACTCAAGTTCCATGATAGCATCATATACCTCCTGCCGTGTCAATGGCCATTTGAAGGCCCGAAATCCCCATTTTCTTATCCCTATTTGCGTTCTTTCCGTATCAATTTTTGCTTTCAATTTTGTAAGTGCTGACGAGCATTTAGCAATGTTGTCGACCAGGTCTTCCGTAGTAGTAAATTTATTGCCATTATGCCGGATCAGCTCATCAAGAGACTGAAGGACTTGGGCAAGGGCAGTGATCTTTTCTTGGAAGCGCCGGATATCCTGTGTCGTGTTCTTGACGTTGTTGAGGTATTTCCCGCATATTTGGACTATACTTCCTGTTAACTGGATAACTGCGATGACGCTTGCTGCACCTGAAAGAGGATCCATGGTAAACAAGCCTCCAAAGCATAAGAGTTATAAAATGGTAAGCAATGCCGCAGAGTATGATGGGCAAAAACAGAGTTCAGGCCCCTTCAAAGAGGGGTAGGTAGGCTGGCGCTTACCACCATAAGATCACGTGACTAATACACGAGAATATATTCTAGCGCCTATCAAATCAGACACAGATTCATGTTTGCTACACTTCTGACTGTGTCAAAAATAGTGGTTTAAGTACGGCTAAGGCTGACAGTAGGGGGCGACAAGGATCAAGGAAATAGAAGGCTTAGCCAAAACTGACCGACGGTTGGGCCTTCCTGAGGGTTCAGAGCCCTCCATATCCATATCCTGATATATCATCGTGGGCACAACAGGTCCACGTATACGGCTGGCTTCCGCGACTCCGGAGAGGTCTTACTCATCGCTTCGGAGCGGAACGGCGATGCGATAGTCGGCGTGCGTGCAATGAATATGTAATATAGCAGCGGGTCTCTGTAGTGGCCGAGACGCCCTGATGACAAAGGCGATGCATGTGGATTTGAAGCCCCACTCCAAAGTCAGGAACGTCATCACTAGCCAGGGGTACCCCTAGGTGCGATATCCTTAACCGTAGTGGTTGTCACGATCTGAGACGCTTTGTAATAAGTATTACTAGCTTCCCCTTAGTAGGAGTTTCTGACTAGGGTCAGAAACTGATTATGAATAGACTGCGACATCGCCCATGGACGGGCGGGTGGGCATAGCCCATGGGCCTTATATAAGCGGGAAATGGGCCCTATAGATAGGCCCATGGACGGGCCCTACCCTTAGGGCCCACGGGCCGTAGGCGTCATAGGCGCCTATAGGCCTTTTTAGTAAGCAAAATTAGCGTAACACGTGATCTTTTTTAATAAATTTCAAAATATTTCAACTAAATTCATATTTTTAACATACTTACAATCATAATTCCGGATTTCTAATAAGATATATATAAATATATATAGTGTAATTTACTATATATCTAATTTTTATATATATTCAAGACAACTTTATAATATAGTAGGTATAGTGGGTATGCCCGCGATAGGTATGCCTATAGGCCGTAGGCGTTATAGACGGGTACTCGAAAATCCAAATAGCCCACCGCCTACTATGGACAGGCGATAGGCACCTCCTAGGTACCCATAGACGGGCGATATCGCAGTCTAATTATAAAAGAATCTTTGACTGTAGTTAGAAGGATTCTGCTACTAAATCCCGACTTCGGTTAGGTATTACGGAACTACCCGTCACCAATTGATGGTACCCCACCGGGTGCATAGATGGGCTACTGAGAGCCAACCAATCTATCTGTCAGCAGATCACGTGTAGTATCTAATACTCTAGTGTCCCCAGGTATTCAGGAAAGAGAAAACCCATTTACGCTTAGTAAGTAGAAGTATGATCAAGCCTGATCAGACTCCCTACTAAGAGGTTTCTGGTATATATATACTTCAGGGTATCGGATATTACCTATATTAGGAATCGCTATATATAGAACTAGGGATATGTGACCGTAACTCCTACGTTAACTTAGAGAAGTATATGTAGGAGTATATAGCGACTCTAGCGGTAACTTTAAGGAGTTACGCTAGGAGTAGGAATCGAAAGATATATAAGGATACTTATTTATATACTTAGTTTAGTTCTTCGTCTTTAATTATATATTATTACTTATGTTTACTTTTTAGACTACTGTGACTCTTTACTTAATTATAACTTGATAATACTTATAAGTAGACTAATACCTTAGTATAGATCTACTCGGCGCTTTTACTAGTATCGTTCCTTAATCTCTTAATAGGACTTAGGCTATAGTAAGGCCTTATAGGTAATAGCTTAGTTATAATAGATCGTTAACGTTAGATATATGAGGAGTATTAAGGTAAGTATACCTAGAACCTATCTAACCTAACTATAACTAGTTAGTAGTGCGTAATATATTAAAGACTGTTTTGAATCGAGTTTCGAGTTATAACTACTAATATATCTTAACTCGGAAAGAAAGTCCTAACTAAGCTAGTCTAAGATAATAACCCCGATTCCGATACTAAGAGAGATAATAGGATTAAGATACTAAAGGAGTAGGTAAAGACTTTATTAAATAAACTTTAAGAGTAAGAAAAGTATAATACCTAGGTTAAGGACTATCTAGTGTAAATATATACCTAAGTTACCGCTTTAGCACTAGTTAGTGCTATCTAAGGGCTAGTGTTACCTAAGGCTAAGTATTTTAAAGGAAACTGAACTAAGCTTTAAGGATTCTTTACTTAGATAGATATATACCTTAACGTAAATAAAGCTAAGCTTCTATCCGAAGCTAGTAGGGTGATTTTTATATTAACCTACCTATATAAATAAGTATAGAACTAGCTTAAACTATATATTCGAGATTATTATAAGAAGGTATTAGGAGATTAGTCTATAACTACTACGGACATCTTTAGTAACTATAATAAGTTCTGTTAATATCTCGAGTGAACCTTCGGAGATATTAATATAACCTAAATAACTAAATATAAGCTATAGAAAATTAGATAATAAACTAGCGCGTTAATTTATACCTCCGAATTCTAGTAAATTATATCCTATCTAGATCTACTTAACCGAGCGTATATTCTGTACTTTAAAGTAGGACTTAAACTAGATATTAAGGACGAATTAGTATAAATTAATAGGCCTGAAACCTTAGACTAACTTATCGCGATCGTAGTTAAGATCGATAATCGTATTAACAAGTAATGATACGAACGCCGAGAGATAGACTAATAGAAAAAGGGTAAGAGTTATAAATTTAACCGTTTTAGTAATAGGCGCTATAATAGAGCGCCCTAAGACCCTAATCTATATAGCCTAAAGCTAATAGAATTGGACACTATTTAGGATAAGTAAAATAAGCGTTAACAGAAGAATCTCTGTTTTACGTATAGGAAACTAAGATATTATACGAGAGAATATAAGTAGAAGAAACTATACGAGAAACGGTAATATATATAGGTAATACGCGAAGAACTGTATATAACCTAAGAAACCGAATAGGACTACCTAAAGATAGAGTCTTTAGAAGATCTCTTAGTAAGATAGAGTAACCTAAGCCTAGAAGAGATATTAGTAGGTAACCTATATATTAAAGGGTTAGCTAATAAGCTGTATATCAATTACTTAGAAATCGACTGGGATACTATAGAAAGCTAGGGATAGACCTAGTACGTCCCCTAAAAGCTAGACTACTTTTTAGAATAGTCTAGTGACTCCTAGGAACGAGAAGTAGGTCTCTTAGGAACGCTAGTCGCGACCCCCGGAACTACTAATAATCTAAGAACGACGAACGCGTTCCTAGGAAGCGACTAAATAATCTTAGAAATACCACTAAATAGTCCTAAGAATTATTAAAATGATAAAGAGGCCGATAATAAGCCTATAGGATATTTTAAAGGAAAGATATAGCCTAGTAGACTAGACTAGTACCTTATTAATATAATTAAGGAAGGCGATAACCTAGTAGGATACCTTTATAAAGATTCTACTTATATATATAAAGGATATGTACAATACCCGAGATATAGTAGAATAGCTAGCGTTATATATTATAATAAGATATGTACTACCTATAGGTCTAGTAAGTTAGATTTTAGTATCGAACCCTAGCTATTAAGGTAGATAAAGAAGCTATAATAGAACTAAGAGTACTAAGGGGTATAGTATAACGGCCGATAGATATATAACTACTAAGGCTATCTAATAGTATAGCTAGTAGTAACTTTACTAAGAATATATATTAAACTGTATATAATCTTACTAATAGGAAAGGCTTAGACTCTTATCGACTTAGGAGTAATAAATAATTTTATAAACCCTAGGTTCTAAGAAGCCTAATAAGTCTTTACTAAACTATTATTGTATATTATCCCTATTATAGGACTCGATAGAGAAGTTCTCTTTAGCGGAGTAAGCGAGGAAACTATTATACTACTAATATCTATCTATAGATACCTAGAACTAATTAAGTTTAATATTCTAGAAATAGGAGACTATAATATTGTTTTAGAAGTTCTATAGCTTAGAAAGTATAATTTAAGTATTAATTAGTAATTAGGATAGATTACTTTCGATAGGTATAAATATATAGAATAGTATAACGACTATAAAACGCGTTAGAAGAAGTCTAGCTAATAGAGTAAGAATAGATAGTCTTAGAAGAAGAGGACTAGGGTATTAGTTATAGGCGTCGCTCTAAATACTATAGAACAGTTACCCGGTATATTTGACTAGGAACTAGTAGAATACGTGATTATTAAAAATAAAAAGCTATATATAACTAGTAACGAACCCTGGATTCTAGATAAATACTAAGAGTTTATAGATATTTTTATAGTACCTACTGATAGAGTGTTACCTAAATATAGGCCTTTCGACTACGAAATTAATATAATAGAGGGTACTAAACCTACTTTTAAACCTATCTATTAATTATTATAGAAAGAATCCTAAATACTTAAGGAATATATTAATAAGAACTTATAGAAAGGTTATATCTAAGCCTTAAAGTTATTAGCCGGATACTTAATTATCTTTATACTAAAGAAAGATAGGAGCCTTTAACTCTATATAGATTATCGATATCTAAATTCGATTATTATTAAAGATTGATACCTATTACTTTTAATCTATAAGATATAAGACTAGATCGGAGGAGCGAAGTACTTCTTAAAATACGATATTACTAATATATATTACTATATCAGAATCAAGCTAGGCTACGAATAGAAAACGGTATTTAGAACTAAGTTTAGATACTACAAATATAAGGTTATACCCTTTAGCCTCACTAATATATTAGCTATATTCTAACGCTTTATTTTTAAAGCGCTAGAGGAATATCTTGATATCTTCGTTATTATATATCTAGATAATATCTTAGTATTCTTAGTAACCTTCGAAGATTATATTAAATATAATAAGCTAGTACTATAGAAGTTAAGAGAAGTAAA